ATCATGAGTTGCGAGCCGGAGGTGGAAGCCCTACTCTTAATAGCTAATAAGCGCTGTTTTATAATGAGTATCGGTAATTGAAAGAATCGTTACCACGATTGATGGCGATCCCAGCGGAAAGGGGCTTATTGGGTAAAGGGGTGTACCTAAGAGACGGCAAACCTCAAGGTTATCCTGATTGTTGCTGCGTTGATTGTACCTTCTGACCAAAGGTATGATAGCGAAAATTACGAGAGATCAAAGGCTTACGCAAATTGAATCATACCTATTAATTGTATATATGCGTGTTAAAGAATGATTTTTCGGCCACTGGCGGCTCTGGGAATAGTTTTGCTCATTGAATAATGTCTCAAGGTAGCAAACTTTATAATTGCATTGTACGTCCCGAAATTTTCTATTTTACGATCTCAATTGATCTCAACGTGTTTCTATGAGCATCTCCAGTTGATAATTTGAAGCTAATTATTCTGTTTGCATTTATATATTGTATGAAATAATTATAAATAAATCATCCATTAATTGAAAAAAAAAAGAAAAACAGATTTTACTCAAACTTTGTATATTTGTTCCTTATCGAAAAATTGTAGACTCGCATTTCATTATTTTGCTCTTAGGGTGCACCTTTCTGAGTAAGGGTGGTCCAATAAATCGACATTTTTGTCTATATACCCAACTTTGAAAATTCATAACTTTTTAACTACTGGACAGTTTCCCGCAAATGGAGGAAACTGAAAGTCAAATTAGTTTAAATATTTTAGAACATAAAACAATCTTTTTCAATAGATTTTACAGTGCCGAGACGAAAGAGACCCTAGTTCTTTTATTTTTTTTTTGAAAGCTTATACTTTTATACTTACAATATCAATAATGCTAATATTTGTTTAATTATATTTAGTCTTATGTTTTTACTTCAAAGCTACCATGCGTCTCCATTGGTTCGAAATGATTGAATCACTGACAAACAGACATAACACTCGCAAAATGTTCATCGAACAAGCATTTAATGGTCAATTTAAAAGAATCGTTGTTGGTAGTACCACCACCTGTGGCGCGCATAGTCAATTCCCTTGCGTTTGACGTTTACCCACTACCGCCATCTGTTCAGCGTACTACCCACCACAGTGTACAACAGATGGCGGTAATGTTTTAGCGACGATGTTTTACATTGAGAAATATTCAATGAGCTATGTCTGTTTGTCTGTCATTGCACTATCCACGCCAAATGACGAATCTGAAAAATCAACCTACTCCGATTTGCATAACACTTTGCATAATAACAAAATATCAAAAATTGAGGTAGGGTAAATGTTGGCTTCGGCACCCATTGACTGTTTTCGGCAACCAAAATTTAAACGTTAATTTCACTATGTTTTCCCATCAACGCACTTCCCTGAATGTGTCCAAACGATTGTTTAGCCTTTCAGCTTCAATCTGATTATATTTGAACGATCGAGCAATCCAGCAATGCTACATTTTTCTTCAAATAAAGCATACGCACTACAAAATGGGGTTGATTTCGAGTTGCCGATAATAGAACAGCTGGTTAACACGCAGTTCTAATGGGAAGGTTGCCGAAGAAAAAGAGGCTGCCGACAATAGTCACACTCACCTGAGAAGTTTGGAGCGTTGTAAAAACGCTTTCAAAACGTTTAGAAAAATTCTGTCGATTGGAATGGATAGAGAAGCAAGCAGCAGATGAATGTAAACAAACAGACATATCATATATGTGCGTGACGCTGAGAAAATGCTAGTAGAAGTGCAGACGCTGCTTAGATTGACGAGAATACGTAAATTCCCCTATTTGAGTTTTGGAAGTGGTTAGAGACCACGATTTTGCTTGAACCATGTATCTAATTATGTTAAAGTATAGTTCAGGAAGTGCCTAACAACTTTTTGCAAGAATGGGAAGACACTACTAGAATGGTTCTAAAAAAGGTTATAGCTTTTCAAAGACCAATGTTTCGAATTAAATGCCAAAAATCACTTAATATGTTCAGCTGAATTGTAAAAAAAAAAAAAAATAGATCTATCTCGTATGCGTAGTTGGAGATGGAGGGGAAGGGATGCTACACCCTCCCACGCCCTTTTACTCTTATCAATAGAAGTAGAGTTACTAACTGAAATAACTTCGAAGTTTCTTTTTTCCTTGATTTGTTTTCCGTTGATCTTGTTTTCCGTGCTGAGCATCAATGCTACCGACGTCAGGGAGGCAGCTGCCACACCTGGACCCTACATATTGACCCATCAGCTCATGAACCGGGGACCAACGGTTTTACTTCCCAGAAGAAAGGCGTCCTTTGGAAAAGTGGTTAGGCACTTCTTGGACTATTTTTGTACATGGCTAGTTGCATGGTTCAAGCAAAATTGTCGCTAGTATCCAATCTACAAAGTTAGTTGCATGGTTCAAGCAAAATTGTGGTCTCTAGGGATAAAAATACAAATGCGATTTTAGATCAAATTGTAAACAAACTCGGTCGCTTGTCCCATACAAAAACCCATGGATGAATAATGAATTTGACACATTAGAACACCTATGTGCAGTCACCTTGATAAATACTAGATTTTTGGAAGAAGAAAATTGGGAATATTTTGAATTATTCCCAGAACTTACAAGAGACATTAGTGTCAACCGAGTCAATGTGCAGGATATTAGGAAGCTTTAAATTTATATACGATGTTATACATGACCTTATTGTAAATAACTTTCTTAAGCACGCCGTCGTTTATTGGCATAATGGTTGAAAATTTTAAAACTATAACACTATAAATGTGCTATTAGCTAGCCATTTTCAATCAGGCTATCAATTTCCGGCAAGCGCTTCGAATAATTTTATATTACATACATGCTAAATTCAGCATATTTGTAGTTCTGTTTCAAAATTTCAGCTCAATTGATCATAACAAAACATAGTTGCAGAAGCGATATCTCAACTACATATGAAGGGCTACGTATGCTGCCATGCATAGTGACGTCACTATTTGTGTTTACAATATTTTGGGGTTACTTATACAAATGCATTTGACGATCTGATTTTTTTCTGTACCTCATTTCAAGACAAAAACAATGATATAAATAACAGTAGGCACATTGACCTTGCGTCTGAACTTAAGATATAATATAATACGAAAACATGGTTGATTTTTGCGGTTTTTTGAGTCCAACTTGTTTGCCGTGACAACATAAAAAAAAAATGTTTTTACACGTAAATTTTTCTTAAAACTAGAGGAAAAAAACTGCTGTTTTCAGATTTGCAACATCTTGTTCCAATATTTGTTTTAAAAATCTAAACGTATTTTTACGTTAAAAAAACATAAAAAAAAAAATCAAATTTTCACAGATGGAATATTTTAAATCTTACAGATTATGAAACTAGAGGTCCCAAATTATCATCTAGTGAAATAAAATTTTAGGTACATTCACTTTTAATGAAAGTTGACTTTTAACATAGCGTGCAACATGCCAAATTTGGCTAGTTTGTATGAACATCGGCCTATTATGCTAATTTAAAGGCCACCACTGTACCTTCAAGGTTCTGTTTCGGGTGCAATTCCACCCGTATTTATGAAGAGCTTAGTACTGAAACATACAACTCCATTGTTTTGGCTTTTTAAAATATCGCTGGGATCTGGAAACTTTCTTTAAACTTGGAAAAAATCTTTTCTTGTGCTTACTTTTAAAAGTTGCAAAAAATCTTAGATACATAATTACCGTTGAAGTGCCATTATTTCAAAACTATCCCATCAAATCAAAAACAGAATACCGTAAAACGGGGTATCTTTAATAATGCGAGTAACTTTGACAGTAGAATATAATGTTTAAATTTACTCTCTGCACTATTTACAAATTGGCAACATTGGTTCCATTTCGTAGCTTAGGATATGGCCTTTGATATCGTGTTGAGTTTTTATATAGAATGTTTTACGTATTTTCCAAATACCTGAAAAGAAAACTTTTCATGTTTTTCGAATGATTGAAAAGGCACTCAAACCATCACTAAGTAGATATATTTCCGATATAGCCATCACAAATCCAACGATTTTTTTGTTCATATACTCATTCAAGGTTCCGCATGTCTACTACTAAATTGTTTGAGATTTACGCATGTTTTTCTACATGATTCGAATATTATCAACGTAACCCCAAAACAAAGACATAATGTTCGGTCATATGGCAAAAAAAATAGTGGAAATGCAATAATTTCCGTTAAACAAACTTCCTACGAATTGAATCCAGGATCTTCAATACTTGTTTAAAAAAAAATAATATATGAAAACATTAACTGTTGTAAAAAAAAATTTAGAATATGTTACAAAAACCTACCCCGTTTTACGGTAACTAACAACAAAGGACGTTCAACTAGTACATATTTACTAAAATTCGTCGTCTATTCACTGATTGCAATGGAGAATGGATAACATATGGAAGCCCTTTATACAGACTTTGGTAAGGCGTATGATTGCATTGATAAAAAATGCAAAATTTGAAACAGTTCCAAACCGGGTCTAACTATACAGTATACAATAACCATAACAAAATATGGTCATCAATCTATCTTATTGTACGTACTAGTAGATTTATCATATTGTTATTACAATAGATTTACAATACTTCCCATTGTTCTATATTCGACCGGTTCATGCTTACGTGAGATAGTATAAGGGGGTCTTAGTCCTTTCTCCCATGGAAGAAAAAGTATGTAAATCTCAAACAACCCCTTACGTAATTAATTAATGGTGCCGTAACATTTTTCTTACGTCAAACCAATCATGTCATATGTTCGGATTTTAACTGGACCACACTTTAGAAATACGGTAAAACATTGTTGACGAACTTATTTCCACACAGTAGGTCACAATTAGCGAAGCTTTGAAACACACCTTCGACTGAATGTTCCACCATTTTTAAAATTGAAGCTAAGGCCATTCCTTCAAACATTTCATTTATTAAATATCTTTTTATCTTCTCCAAAGTAAAACAACAGCTGCTATAATGTACTTACCTTTTCGCCACTATCCGACGGCAGGTAGAAGACCAATATTGTTAGGAAGCTGATGCCCATGCAGGGGATAATTAAATTTACGGTATAAAACAACGTTTTACGGCGCATCGTTATGTTGAAGGTGATATCGAGATACGGTTCATCACAACATGTGTAGAATTTTTCATTTCTGGACCAGCATCGGAATCGATTTGGAATGTCAGTTCGATTAGGACGTGGGCAGTGAGAGTGATAGTGGCGGCAATGGTGATGACGATGATGATGTCGACCGGATGACAGAAAAAATGGCCGCAGTCGCATTCACAGGGCGTTGAAGAGGTGTTTTGTTGTTGATGATGTACGGCACGTTTTGGTCCATCGTAGCCAGTTCAGATCCGGACGAATTGGACGCGTTGGCAGAATTTGTAAGCATGGAAATGGAAAAAGCAAATAAAAGCGGTTTTTCATATGGCAGTTGTTCAGGTTTTTGTCATCACTCCCTATCCGGTAGCCAGCCGAAAGGAAGAGTGGAAAATTTGATGGAATTCAATTTAAATAATTTGAAACGGTTCATCGAGTGGCGATTCGTGTTAGCAATTTGTTGAATGTTTGCTTTATTCCCTTGACACTCGATTTTTTTTTGTGAGTGTGTGTGTGAGTGAATGTGACACATTCTGCTTAGTCGTTTGCCATCCAATATCCTATTGATGGTAGAGTGAATCAGTTTTCCAAAAATTGGTGAGCTATACTACGGTACTGTTGCACAATTTATTGGGCAGATAGGCTTTTGTTATGGGATGAATGGAAAATATGTCAATCATATTCAGAAACGGATTGATAAATTTAAAATTGACATCTTTAAGTAGTGTGCTTTGGATGGTGAGTTGGTCGTGACATCATACTTTATAATTTTATAGGCCCATGTGAGTGTTGTAGTTCTGAGTAGTTAGGCCAAAAATTGTTGTAATTAAAATCTTCCATACGCAAGGGAACGCAAGGGGTGGCAAAAAAGATCCCGTACAGTGTACAGGAATTGCAGTCTAGTGCGACAGGAATTGCAGTCTAGTACGCATTGAGCATATTTATTGTAAGAGCCATCTTTACTTTGTGACGTATCCGATGGTGCTAAAATCCAAATTTTTAAGTGTAACTTTCTGTAGATTTGACGACTTGGATAAAGTTATTAAAGTTAGAAAAATATTTTCTTTATTAACTACCACGATACACAGAACTTTCTCATAGAAATTTATACTACGCACTTTAAAAATATTAAGGATTTTATATAATGAGAAAGTTCGCTGCTTTGTTTCGGTTTTATAAATATTGACTCGCAATTCCTCGCTCATTATACAAGACCGACAAAAGTCACGCTGTAAGGGGCAGAGGGGGTTAGTTTTTCAAAAATTTCGCGTGACGTACATTAACATTTAATCCACGGGTGTAATTCCAAGGGGTATTTTGGGAAGATAATTATGAGGAAAATTCTTTAGGGGTTGTAAGAATCAATCCAGGGGTAGTGGTGTAGTGGTAAGCGTGACTGCGTCTCACACAGGGCGTGGGTTCAATCCCAGTAGGCGCCGTCTGGATTTTCTGAGGCATAAAATCTCTGATCACGCCTTCCTTCTGAAAATAAGTTAAGCTGTTGGTCCCAGTCCATGAGTTTGATGGGTCGATAGGTGTATGGTCCAGGTGTGGAAGGTGCTTCTCTAACGTCAGTACGGAAAACAAATCAAGAAAAAAAAAAGTTCAGGGGTTATACCAAAGGAATAGCGGCGCCGGTGGTGTAGTAGTAAGCATGATTAATTCTCACCCCAGTAGGCCTGGGTTCAATCCCAGTCGGCGCCGCCGGGATGTTCTGAGGCATAACATCTCTGATCACGGCTTCCTTCAGAAGGGTAGTAAAGCCGTTGGTCCCCGGTCTATGAGTTGATGGATCGATAGGTAGGGTCCAGGTTTGGGAGCTGCCGTCCTGGCGTCGGTAGCATTGGTGCTCAGCACGGAAAACAAGATCGACGGAAAACAAATCAAGGAAAAAAACATACCAAGGAATTTGAAGCAAAATTTCAAAGGAATTCTAAGGATTCCAGGCCTGTCAGCACCAGAAGCTGACTTGTTTTTTATTATGAAGTAATGAAATTGGGTTGTTCGCGGAATGCTTAAATAAAACAGCAAAAAAAAAAGGATATCTTCCATTTAATTCCACTTAATTATTTTTGGTACCCATGACAGATACGTATTTCGACTACAACTTGCAGTCTTCATCAGTGTCATTCCCACTAAAGAATTATCAAAAACCTAACCGCCTTAAGTACTCATCCCCTAGAAACCTGTAATCGTGATATTTTTTACCTAGGGGATGAGTACTTGAGGGGGTTAGGTTTTAGATAAGTTTTTAGTGGGAATGACACTGATGAAGACTGCACATGGTATTATTATTTAACTTTATTAGGGAGGCTTTCAGCCTTGGGCTGGTTCGCCTCCAACGGCACATGGTAGTCAAAATACGTATCTGCCATGGATACCAAAATTAATTTAGTGGAATTAAATGGAAGATAACCTTTTTTTGCTGTTTTATTCGTTGATTTTCAAATCAAAATTAACTGGGATCAGAAATATTGCTTATCATACGCTTTATTTATAAAAGCTGTTTTTTTGAAATGCATAGACATCCATCTATTACTGTGCGAAATTGAGCTGCAAATATCTAACATAACGTAGATTTATTCAACGCCTTTTTTTTCTTTTGAAGGAACATTAAAAATATACTTAAAAAATGTTTGAAACATGTTCCGTCTACAAATGTTCAGCACTCATAAGACATAAAATTAGTTGCGCCCATCAGATACAAACATTTTGATTTTATTTGGCCGCCTTTTAAAATGCTCATGTGCTCTTGTGAAGACAGGCTAGCTGGTTTTCTTAATACAAGAGGTTTTCCTTGTTAATCTAAATTTCCAAAGACAAAGGAAGTTCCGAAAACTTCAGGAAAAAATTATAAAACTTAAGGACCGTTCAATTTACTGCAGAAAAAATGCAGGAACTTTAAAGATGTTTCAAGAACAGATTGAGTTTTTACATAAATTTGACACATTGCAAATAAATTTAGATGCTCGAAAATCCCTCAAATGGAACACATTCTTCAGATCTTCTAGAGATCTTCTGTAAAATTTAGAAAACTTTATGTTAGTTCCATTAACATCAGATGCAGGCATAAGGAATGAGAATTTATTGGAATTTCTAAGTTTCAAAAGCATTTGGGTAACTCCGAAAACTTCAAGAACATCCAGATCTAGGAACAAGTTTTCTTTCATCTGAGTTTTTTTCATAAAAAATTTATAGAAGTTCAATGAAGATCAAACTGTTTCAGGCCAGCCCCAGCTTCAGGAAAATTAGAGAAACTTAACAGAAGTTACCAAAACTTAAGTTGAGTTAAAAGATCTTAAGGGAAGATAAGTAGCTTCGACTAGTTGTGAGAACTATGGGGATGATTTTTAGGAAAATTTCATAAATTTCTTTAAGTTCCGAGAACTTTAGGTAAATTTCGAGAACCTTAGGACAGTTCCATTGAATTCAGAAAACCGGCATGAACGTATAAGATATTTTTGTCGCTTGTCCCGCGGAGAAAATAAATTATTAGTTTTTCGCGTTCTGCATTGAAATATCTCAAATCTAATGTAGGATTTTATAAAAATTTGAAAAATTACCAAAATGGCGGCGTTCGAAAAAAAAAATATCGATTTTTCGTTGAAGAAAATGATACTCAAAATGCGTGTAAAAATTCGAAAAGCTGGAATATCCGAAAAGTCCCATTTTTTCCTTGCTTTGTTTTCCGTCGATCTGAGCACCAACGCTACCGACGCCAGGGAGGCAGCTCCCACACCTGGACCCTACCTATCGATCCATCAACTGATGAACTGGGGACCAACGGTTTTACTTCCCATCCGAAGGAAGACGTGATCAGAGATGTTATGCCTCAGAACATCCCGGCGGCGCCGACTGGAATTTAACCCAGGCCTGTTGGAGTGAGAGGTCATCACGCTCACCACTACACCACCGGCGCCGCTAAAAGTCTCATCTTAGATTTAAGTTAATTATTTTTTTACATCGCAGACAGAAGAATCAGTAAAATTGATCGAATAGTCTCCGAGATCCCTGTCTCGTAAGGTAAATAAATGTGGTTTCGAGAAAAGGGTATTTTGGGCTGAAAATTTTCGAAAATAAAACTGAAATGTTGCTTAAAATCATACTGAAAACCCGAAGTGATTGCATTTTTCTTAATTTTATATAACAAATTAACAAAAAAAAAAACATTTTTTTTAGATAGATGTCCCCCATTAATTCAGGATAAAATTACGAACTTCAGGAAAATTTAGAGAAGCTATAGGAAGCTCCGTGGATTTTAAGGAATTCCAGAGAACTGCAATTTAGTTAGTAATTAATTGCAGGAACGAACTTTCAACAAGTCCGAGAAATTTTAGTATATTATGAGGGTTTCAAAAGCTGTGGGGTTTACAGAAAATTATCTTGAACAGCAGTAAAATCGTTGAAACGTAAAAGATGTTTCGATAATATCTTGAAATGAAGGGAACTTCATGAAAACTTCACAGAGTGGAATTTTAGAGTTCTTAAATGAGTTCCATGAACTTCAAGGAACTATGTATATGAAGCATTCCTGAAGGTTCATATACATAGTTCCTTGAATTGTGGGAGATTCAGCATAGACGAAAGATCTTGGAGAAAGATCAATAAACTTCAGGAAATCTGCACGAACTTTTAAAAAGTTCAGAGAAATTCAGAGAAAATTACGAATTTAACAAAATCTAGTAGAATTCCTTATTTTGCTTAGGCTTTTCAGACTTCAAGAAAATAAGCAGATTAAAGTTTTATCATCGTCGACGTTTCAATCAAGGGGATGAAATCTTTATCAGGACTTGTTTTAGATTAAGATCATAAAACTGTTTGCGCTGATCGAAAGACGGCCTAACTTTAACCCCTCAGGGGTTGTTGAAAGCCTAGTTTTAGTTAGAGTGATCTAAATTGTTTGTCAATTCCCAAATTAAGTTTACAGTGACTCCCAAAGAGAGGCACATGAATTTAAGTTGGTCAGGGGTACATATGAGAAATCAGGGCGTAACCAACTCAGAATTTACCATGACAGAGGATGAGACTTCAAATAACAATTCTAATGGGTTTATTTGCAATTCCTAGAATAATTCTATCTAGATTTCCAAAGAACTACTGACATGGATTCCAAGATGATTGAGATAATGATACAAAGGAATCTAAAAATGCTGAAGGGAATCTCTAAGGTTTAGTTTATGTTTTGTTATTTTTGTGTATAAACGCTGATCACGAAAAAATTGACCTCAGAATGTACGTGCAGAAACAGGCATTCTTGAAATGGGTCGTTTGATGTACGATAGAGCTGTCACCTTCCATCTCCAGAGCTAAAAATATTTGCACATTCGACATACAGAAAATGCAGATAAGTTTCTTCCATAAAACTCTGCCGGTACAGAGGGCGATGGACTGTACTCACACACACACACACACACACACACACATAAACGCTGATCACGAAAAAATCCGGACACATTAAAAACGCACCATGAAGACATTTTTTGAGTAAAATTTTTCAAAATCTACTGGATCACGCTAAAAGTGTATAGATTCACAGTAGGAATTGGTTGTCAGGATAACTTCATTTGTTTACATCATGGCTTCACCGGAGCAAGCACGTCGCGCTTCGATCCTACACGTTCGAAACGAAAATCCCGGTGTATCCGTTCCTGGCAGTTTTCGATCAAATTCCTGGGTAGAAAATGTATACCTCAGTTGATCGGAAGAGTGCACCGGAAGAATGTATAATCAAAAAGAAATCGAAATTTCCCAAAAAGGTCCTCTGGCATCAATCTGCAGTTGTGGACTGAAAACGAAATTTTCCTTACTTCTGGGATCATGAAACAGCAAATTTACCAGGAGGAGTGCCTACGCATGAGACTACTGCCTTTTTTGGAGCAGCAGGTGGATTGCCTATTCTGGCCGGACTTGGCAAGCTGCTACTACTAAAATTTCACAAAACAGTGGAACAGCGAAAATGGCGTCACAGTGGTTCCCAAGGAGATGAATCCGGTCAATACTCCGGAACTAAGGCTAATCAAGGAATACTGGTCAATTGTGAAGCACATACTGAAGAAAAAGGGTGCAACTGCAATTGGCCAGAAGGATTTCAATCGGAAACGGAATTTGGCAGCCAAACAAGTGGGAACAGGGCTCGTGGAAAAGATGATGGGCCTTGTAGGAAGAAAATATCGAGGAATGTCATATGGTAAGAAAGGAAGCCAGAAACCATGGTCATACAATAAGCATAAAACGTACTAATGTATTTCTGTTACATTGAACCATGAAAAATAAAACGCATTTTTAAACCCCAACAAGATTTTCGTGTCCGAATTTTTTCATGTTTGTGTTTCATGTTTATGGACGAGTGTGCAAAAAACGTCACAAGAATAACAAAGATTCGGCCTTAAGGATCAAATCAAGGCCAACAGCTGAAACCACCGAAGTTGAGCTAGATACGAATTTGGGAACATCTAAATCAGAACGGACTGACATTCTAAACCAGAATCATCAATACAAAATTGGAAGATTATTGTAGAGTTAATTTAAAAAGTTCTCTGGAAAGAATTCTCATACTGAACGTTTGAAACTAATGTGAGAGAATTGTTCAGGATTATAGTCCATAGAAAACTTATTAAAAATTCCTGTGAAGAGTTGCAACGAAATTGTTACGGTAATTCAGCTATACATTGTAGAACCCTATATTTGAATAACCTTAAAAATTTCGTTGCAAGGGCAATTAAGGGTAAAACACTCTACATGGTTTTGGGATTTGAATATATTTTCAACATTTTAGGGCTGAGAGTTATCAGATCTCAAAACTAAAAAAATTTCAATACACAATCTTCATCATTTTTTAAAATATAGCACATCGTAAACATAAAAAAATAAACCATTGTGACTTTTGACAAATGTCTTCTGTCTCAGAATCCCTAAAATCTGGGCAATTCATACTCTGGCACTTTAATATTTTACGAGGAATCAAGATTAGAAAACAATGCATCATGGAATGTGTTCTGAAATCTAGTATAGACATTAAATCATCATCTATTTAGAGACCTGTTTTTTTTTTCAATTAGGAAAGGAGTGTCAACGTGCAAACATTGCCAAGGGCGCAATTGGATGCTGGATAGGCCAATAGACGAACGAATTAAAGTCATCATCCACTCGTGACTGCCACATATAGAAAGAACAAGACAAACATCGTAATCATTTATTTCTTACCTGACTGCAGGAACTTCAAGAATGTCCCATTCGACTGACGTGTAGAACTCCGACAAATCCACTCCAACTTCCACTACGTTTGTGTCGTTGACTTCATCGATATGGCGAAGGTCAACCTGAAAAATAGAAAAGAATAAAATCAAACATGGTGACATCAATTGATTACAAGAAATTCTAGAAACGTTCCCAAAAACCAATGCTACATATGTTCATGTAGGTCACCCAGGTAACGGTTAGGTGCACTACGGAACGCCTAGGACCTGTAATGATCTTTCATCATCCATGAAACGACATAAAAAGCTTGTAAAATTTCAACACCCCCCCGAATAACGACCGATACTACTACCGACTAGTCATGGATGGAATCGGTTGAAAGTTGTTCAAATCACTGGAAAGTGTTCACAGAACAATCAAATTTCACTCTGACAACTCTGTGACTGCCTCTCTGGTGCCATTGGTCAGGCGAAATAAACTACCGGATGAAGCAAAACCTGCTTGAGAAGGGACACGGTCGATGTCTGGACCAGCTCGGTGTAAGATGGGCCCATAAAAAGCAAGAGCTTAAAGGACGGTTGGATGTAGGATAGTGGACAGGAAATGGTGTGACAATAAAAATCACGTCCTCAGATTCTGTCAAGACGTTTTCCTTATACATATAAGTGTACGGGAAGGGAAAACTGCCAAAATCAAACATCTGACTGAGCTGAGATTTTTATTTCGCCTTCATTCATTGTTCTCGTTATCGCATTTTATTTCACTTTGGAAAAAAAATCCCACTCCCCTTGCCTTCTCGGACTGGTAGAGAGTTGCATCGTTATTCAGGAAATGAGGGGTGGCATTTTCCAAGCTTTTCGACTCGTAGCAGGTTGTAAAAATGATTTTTTGATGGAGGAATCATGGCATGCGTCAAACTTTCGTTCTTTTTTCTGCCGCCTTCTGTGCCTACACATTTGGGACTTGTTAGATCGCATCGGGTCGCTAGGCAGTTGCATGACCATTCTGGCATGTAATTAAGACCTGCTGGGAAATTAGTATCATCCCATTTTATATGACAACGATGCTTGGCGTTTGATGTTGGTTGAATAGCGATTATACTTTCCGCAGTGGATGGTAAAAATATTATGGGCAAAAAAGTAGAATTGGGGGTTCCTTGGTTAATAGATGACACTATATTAATTAACCAGGTCTCTAAACATTGCCACAATGTTGTGAGTATTTTTTCGTCGAAATCTGCATAATCTGCCGGTGCCGATGGTGTAGTGGTAAACGTAACTACTTTCTCACCCCAATGGGTCTGGATTCAATCCCAGCCGAGGTCGATGGGATTTTTCTAAGGCATAACAATCTCTGGTCACGTCTTCCTTTGCAAGAGAAGTAAAGCCGTTGGTCCCGGCGCATGTTTGTGTTTAATGTGGCAGGTGTGGAAGCTGCCTTCCTGCACATTCGATTGCCGTCAATTGATGGCAATTGATGTCCGTCGGTGATTGGCACTAGATGGCGGAACAGAGATCGACGTTAAATAAAGGAAAGAAAATAAAAAGATCTGCATAATCTTTTTATATAGGGGAAATGTATGTGATGTCGGCCTAAGTGTCCCTAATTTGGGCCCACATAAATTCAGCTATTGACTAAATTTTTAATAGCTACCAAAAATATCCGTTAGTACCGTCCCAATGACGCGTTCATCTATCGATTTTTAGCGATGGGCCCAATCTTAGATCCATAGGCCAACATTAGAGCCATTTCCCCTATATATTTTGTTTTCACTTTAGGTAAAACTTGTCCGGTGATGAGATTTAAACTCGTGACCTTTAGCATATTGTTTCCTGACACCCATTTTCCCGACAGGAAGCCATTTTCCCGTAGTGACAGGAAGCGAGGTCTGACCAAAAAAGCACGGAACAACTGTGTTTCTTCAACAAAAAAAAAACAAAAAAACAACAATGGTTTTTGCAAACATTTATGCCATGCCACTTGTCACGAAAATTTCGCTTTTCAAAATTTTAAAACCAAGAATTTTGTCGGGAACTTTGACAAATTTTTCTGCTTAAACTTATCATGTACCTTTCCTTTTCTGGGAGCTGCTTAAAATCAGCCTAGACGTATATTTCATCGATCATTTTAACGCAATCAATCTGCGTATAATTAATTTGGATTTCGCTTATGCGCGAGCAAAATTTTGATACGTTGTTCCTTTTGCTTCGACACCATTTTGACAACTAACTGAATGGAAAATGATAAAAACAAAATACAGGCAACATTCCGACAAACTCATTCAAGTTTTTCACTGTGGGTGTTCAAGTTTTACACTGATTGGCAAAATAAAGTGTCCACCTCATTTTTTTTTAATTTCTCTCATTTTCCCTCAAAGATGCATTTGGACGATAGGATAGGTGAGAACTCGGATGATATATGCAATTTGTTTGCAAATTTCTTCCAAGAAATATATACTACGTTTTCAGAAGAGGACCGTGACCGTGAATATTTTGAATCATATCCAGAATTTTCAAGTGACATCAGCGTAAAAGTCAAATCATGGTTCATGATATCTTAAAGGGTTTAAACAATTTAGATGCATCTAAAGGTCCTGGCCCTGACGGTGTTCCGCCAGTTTTTATGAAAACTTTAGCAATTGAACTTACTGCTCCATTATTTTGGATTTTCAATATGTCACTGGAATCCGGAAACTTCCCTAAAATATGGAAAAACTCGTTTTTAGTGCCTATCTTTAAATCGGGTAAAAAATCCGACATACGTAATTATCGTGGTATAGCTATTATCTCTTGCATTCCGAAACTTTTCGAGGCGATTGTAAATGAAAAACTCTTTTTTCAAATTAAAAACAGAATAACTACTATGCAACATGGCTTCTTTAAAGGCCGTTCAACAACTACGAATTTGCTCGAATTAATTAATTATTCCTTGAATGCAATGGATAACGGAAACCATGTAGAAGTGTTGTATACAGATTTCAGCAAAGCGTTTGATCGAATTGACATACCCATGCTTCTTTTTAAACTTCAAAAAATGGGAATTCATTACGCACTCCTCAAGTGGCTTGAATCATATTTAACTGACCGTCATCAAATAGTAAAATACAAAGGAAAGATATCAAATCCCGTTGACGTCACTTCAGGAGTTCCTCAAGGCTCCCATTTAGGACCACTTTTATTTATTCTCTTCGTCAATAACATATCTTTCATTATTAAGAAATTGAAAGTTTTAATATATGCTGACGACATTAAACTTTTTTTGGAAATAAAAGATGCCAAAGACATCATCACATTCAAAGAGGAAATTCAAATATTCCATACTTGGTGTCAAAAAAGCCTGCTACAATTAAATATAAAAAAAATGTAACTCCATTACCATTAGTAGAAAACAAAAGCTACCCGATATAACAGTCACTTTAGGAAACCAGATCGTAGAAAAATGTGATAGAGTCAGGGATCTAGGTGTTATTTTGGACTCAAAACTTACTTTCACCGATCATTATAACACAATTATTAACAGAGCTAACAACATGCTTGGTTTCATAAAACGTTTCTGCTTTAACTTTCACGATCCGTATACGATAAAAACATTGTACATTGCTTATGTAAGATCGATGTTAGAATATTGCAGCATAGTTTGGTCACCTTTTTCAATCACACACGAAGAAAGAATAGAGTCCGTTCAAAAGCAGTTTCTATTGTATGCACTCCGCAAGTTAGGTTGGACTGTATTTCCTCTGCCATCTTACACAGCTCGGTGTATGCTCATAAATATCCAAACATTAAAAGAACGTCGTGAATTTGCTATGATTTCTTTCGTAAACGATATCGTATCACATCGAATTGATTCAATAGAACTATTGTCATCCTTAAATTTATATACACCATCTAGGCATTTACGAAATAGAAATATATTTGCTACAAATCGTCATCGTACGAATTATGCCAAATTTGGACCCTTGAACCAAATGATGGATACATATAATAAGCACTGCGATAACATTGACTTTACAATGACAAAAACTAAATTAAAGCAATATTTTAATTCGTCGCATAACGTCAACTAGAAGTAATGTTTTAACTTTTCCTTAAGACATATTATAAAAAATATAAACAAAGACAAAATTGTAAAAATAGCACTTAAGACAACAATTGTAAAACGGTCTACACTGATTGACGACAAATAAATAAAAAAAAAAAAAATTGTTTGGTTAAAATAAAAATAAACACACTGTAGTCTTTGTTGATATCATATTTTTCATATTCTTTTAAAGTTTCACTCATGGAATACTGACAAAAAAGAAGTTTACTTAAAGAACAAAAATTCATCATCATTCATCAGAAAACCCCTAGATTGTATATGTTTTGATATTTTGACCTGTTTTGAAGCAAATGGCTCGACCTGGTGCATTTGTACACGTAATCGCATTTGATTCAGTTGACAAAATGGAGAACGCAGTGATCTCGAAAGCAATTCCCTTGTGTATCTGAAAATTGGTGATTCGTGATGTGCAAAACGGTGAATCGCACCGGGCTATTGCTAGGAAGTACATTACATTACGCTGCTTTTTTTTATTTTTGTGGCCATAAAAATTACATGAGATTTTCGTCATGATTGAAGAAGTGCATCGTCTTGGATGTAATATTAAAATTTATTTTTTTCTGTGTACAGTATCAGCAAGGCAGTGGTTAAGAAACTTCTTCTTAAACTAAAAACGTTCGGATCAGTGGTGGATCGCCCTGGCAGAGGCAGGAAGCGCAAAACGGATGCGAGAACGGACAACAATATCATGCGCGAAGTCAAGATGAACCCGAAGATAACTGTGTGCGTGATCCAGGAAACTCTTTCCGGTTGAACTGTTCGCCGCCGTGTAGTAGCACAGGGGTTGAATAGCAAAGTTGCTCGGAAGTGCCCATTTATCGGCTTAAGTTTGCTGAGGAGCATGCTGATAAGCCTCTAGATTTCTGGAAAACGGTTCTCTGGACGGACGAATCAAAATTCGAGCTGTTTAACCGAAAGCGGCGGGTTCGTGTGTGGTGCAAATCGGGTTAGGAGCTTTAGGAGCGCCAGAAGTTCCGACCCGAAGCATACTGCCAAGAAGACCAAATCTTTCTTCCGGTCT